GAAATTAAATAATTTTCTATTTTACGTTTTTCTTAAACATTATTTACATATTATTATAACAACATATACATAATTTATATTTATATAATAAATTATTTATTATTTATTTATTTATCAAACAATTCAACAATTTTATTCTTTTTACTGGTAACCCGGCATTGAACTAAAAAAGTTATTGTTTAAAACAGTAAAATATTAAATAACAGTATAATATTTCTCCTCAAATTGAATTTTTTTTTTTTTACAATAAAACGCACTAAACCAAATTTATCGTAGAACCGCTATCAACCGGCTATATCATCATAAGATTCAGTCACCCCTTGTTTTCTGTATAACAATTAATGTAAAAAGAAAAGAAAAAAATGTGTATATAAAAAAAAAAAGTAATGTAGGTATTTTCTTTTCTTTTTGTCTGATCCATTCAGATTCGTTGTGTGGATATTATCTACATAGGTACTCCAAACGATGACTCACGGCGAGGGAAAAAAATATAAAAGAGAATGATATAGGTATACATTTACATCACCGCCACCCACCATATGTGTATAATTAAGATGTATACCACGTGATTCTTTGCGCAGTCGTGACAGCCCATGCGCAATGTATCTATTGTGCAAACCAACAGCTGCACGTTGCAGGCTCCCGATTTCCCTGCAGCGGAACGATATGTTTATATAAATATACGTATTGGTCGCATACACGGCTGGTATAGGTAATATGTACGTCATATTCGTCGAGTCCGTGGGTATGGGAGTGGAAAAAAACGAATTCGTAGCATGTTTCGTTAAGTTAAACGAAATTGCTCCGGATAGAAAATCGATTAACTTTGGACAGCAAAAAAAAAACACATAAGTCGCACACCCATCCGCTATGCGTAGAAATAATTTATAAATATATATGATCACAGAATTGACGGATTAAAGAATAAACTTAACCTATTTAATGGTAAATGATAATATCATTTGCGTAAACGTGAACGCATTATGTTGCAGCTTGTGCATAGGCGTGCGCAGGAATTTTGTATGGGGTGTGCCATGAAGAAAATTTGGCCACTTTCCTTTATATGAGCCTTACTGAAAAATAAATATATCTCAATTAACTCTCTCTCCTAAAAAAAAAGATAAATTTGGGTTAACCCATGGGTTTGAATTTTGTCATTTTTTATGGAGATCCTAATATATTTTATCTAATTTTTACTATTTATAGCTTAAAATGTAAACAAAATCCCCGAATGAATAAAAGTCGTAAAAAAAACCACGGGCCACAGGGTATGCCTATGAGCGTATATGTATAATTATAATTATTAACATAAATATTTAATAGCATATAATTTAATACGATTTTAGCCAAATTAAATTAAATATAAATTTTAAGCATTAATATTTTGCAAAAGGTTTTTTATGCATAGTGCTACAGTGATTGGTATTAAAAATATTAATTAATTACATCAATTGTAAATGTATACTTATCAGATATATTTGTAGGAAGCAACAATGTTAAAGTATTTCCTAATTTCTTATTGCTCCCACATGGTCTTAAATAAATTATAATTGCCACTTAGATACTATTAAGTCTCTAGAGACCTTAAATGTTTTTGAATATATAGGTGTGACTTCATGGGTGCAAGACGTATAAATAATTTTAATATCCATTGTCTGTGCATAATATTAATTATTACGACTTAAATTTTAAAAGTTAAACTGAATGTCTGGATGTAATGTTGGCGTGAATTAATTTATATAAAAAATGGTTTGCAAGCAATTGTTTTTGATAAAACAATTAAAATTTATAGGTATACTTAGGTACATGCATTTGGTATACACATAATTATAACTTGTTCTAATTAACTATTTTTTCGCATTTTTATTCATATCGTTGTATAAAACGTATATTTTACCATATAAGCTATTTAGCATACAACAAAAAAATTGTATAATCGACCGGAAAGATTAAATACTAATATAAACGAATGCGACCCCGGTCATTAAGCAGTATACTTCACAGTTTAAGTACATTTGATCATATGATTGACCTGTTAAAATAATAAAACCTAACAAAATTGTTTATGCTGCTACTCAAATACTGAGCAGGACTTACTTTAAGCCCATTATAGCCATAACAGTATTCAATGGCTTATCTCAATATAGGATGTAAATACCATGTATTCATATTTAACATATTAATTAAATAATGTTTGAAATATAAGTTTTTATCGAATTTTCAAGGAATAGTCGCATCTCGAATATATGAGAATCTTCTGAGTGGTGTACAAATTACATTACACCTACATGGTAAATTAAACAAAATAATAGTAATCAGAATAATAAGATTTTTTATTCAATCCATCAAAAATGATATAGGAATAATATTCAATATCTATTACATACATATATATATACATATACAAGTATATAATGTACTTATATTACTTCATTATTTTTTTATAAAATTATGTTTCGATTAATAAATTGTTTAATATAATATATTAATACATTTAATGTATATAATATATTTTATATCACATAATAAAATAAAATTTAAGATTATGTATGTATAGAAGATATAACTGAAGAGTTTGCGTAATAAGTTGCGAGTTAAATACGTTAAGAATTAAAAATAGGACCGTTTAATAAGAACCTCTTCAATCATGTCTCCATGAAGTCAGAGCCCAAAAGATATTACACTCCTATTTTATTTATTTTGAATTTTTTAACCGTGTCAAGCATTTATTGTGTATTTCTCTAACGGAATTACTTAAAGGTTAATAAAATTAATCGTTTGACCACTGTATTTTATAAAGGTTTTTTTCTGTTTAATATTTTACATTATGTGACACTTAAGCGAGATTTGGGTGTAATTTCCGTACAACAATTGATGGGTAAAAAAATACTTATAATAAATATCTTTATCTTCATTAAATATTGAACTAAGAAGGGACATTTCTGAGGAAAATAATTATTTTATATTCACATTTACATATTATATCTAATATTTACTCATACTACTATATTATATGAATATAATAATATAATAATATTTACTCATTTAGAAAGATATTACAGTTATTATTATACAACTAAAACTTTATTTATTTTATGATTACTGTTTCAGTATCTCAAATTAATTATTACCCAAAACTAATATCCAACGAGTAACGATAAATTATAATCCTAGGTCTATTTATTATTTATGTATACATGGAAAATAATCCTACTTATCTAGACATATTAGAGGGCCGTAAATCGTGATCATATTTCTGGTTGAAATATCAAAAAAATCAGAGTCTGTCATTAATATTTCACGTAGCACTCGGTGGAAATTAGTAATTCATTACTATTATACCCAATATATATTCATATTTAGATCTGTGTATGTTCCGTTCTGTTTACTGTTTAGTACCAAGTAGCCTTTGTATTAACTATTCACAAAACTTCTAATTATTATTAGTATTAAATTAAATCACTTTTTTTTTTAGTGCAATAGTATTATTGATTACAAATAGTATTAATAATTAATGGTAGTAGGTATATACCTAATTAATAATAATTAATTTTACTGATAACCTTTAAAATACCAAAAAAATATCATTGACAATGGTAAACAATCCTGCTTTAATATAGCTTCCAAATTGCTGATGCCCGTAAGCGCCGCTAGGAATTTCGTCAGGGGGGTTCATAATGCATATTACATGCACTGATTTCTAAATGATGTTTAAATTATTTAAGTTAAATACGTAAGAATATTTTTTTAAATTGCATGATGTATACTTTTTTATACTATACAAAATTATTTTCGTTTTTTCGACGGCTATAAAGTAATGCAGACTTCTAGAAAATCTGATAATGATAATAATATCCTATATACTAAAATTTTAAATAGTATCCTTTTTTTTAAAAAAATCCAGGGTATTGCAAGTGCACCCTTCTCGCGGCGCCCAAGTTGGTGTCTATTAGACTGTCAATTACTAATTTTCTATGCTAATATCATACCTAATAACGCCATTTGTGGTAAGTGTCTAATGGGCGTACTAGGAACGGATTTAATTATTTGATGCCCTTCTATTTGATATCCTTCTAGGTTTATGCTATGGCTAATAAAAAACAAGTGGTCCTTGTCCTCAATATTTAGCATACGTAGGCTTAAATACATTGTTTAAATAATTTCGATTTGTGTAAAACTATATGCATGCTTACAAGGAAATAAATTACTAAAAGAAATAAAAAAGATCATGACCAAAAACTAAAATAAGAACTATAGCATTTTTTGATTTATTTATTGTGCATGTACATGATTCAACCTAACTCGAAAGTTTAGTCACAGAATAAGTTTAACTTATTGACGTCTTTACTCTTTTTCAATCAATAATCCTATGTATAAATGTATTTATTTATCTAGAAGGGTTTATAGGAAATTCGGACCGAGTAGGTATTATTCGTTAGAAATGCGAGTGACACTAAGAAGCAAATATAATTAATCCTGATCAATATTACTAAAAGACAATCCGAATAATATTGAATTGTCCATTCAGGCTCGAGACACGATAACAGTGTGGCTTATATTTAATTGGTTATATAACGAAAAAATATTAAACTATGATATGCAGGGACGGCGCGAGGAGGTGGGCAATAGAGGCAGTTTCTCAGGGCCCCGCGCTTTAAATTATAATTAAGGCTACGCGGTTCTGAATTAACTGAACTTAAAATATTTTATTAATTTAAATTTTAAGACCCAACATTTATTTTGCGTAGAGCCTCGCAAACTCTATCACCGTCTCTGATGATATGACTATGTGTTTTGTTATTATATATTTTAACCGCAACATATTTGATTTTAATACGATAAAAAACCATGATGTCTTTTATCATAATAAAAACACAGATGTTTTTAAAATAATGTGCATATCACGAAATGGAGAAACTGATAAGATAAGATTTGATAAAAAAAATTCTGTTATCACTAACTTGACCTTTTCAATCTTCTTAAAACTTGCTTATTACTCTATTGATTAAACGTGGATGTTTTACAAGGTTTTTTTAAATCTCGACTAACGTGTTTTCACAAGCCATTTGTTTCTTCGTTTACTTACTTTCACCATGTATATTTAGAAATGTTTTTTCATAAAGTTATTATTAGTTTATAGGTGTAGTTTATTATTATATTACGTTGAAGAACTTAACACAATGTATAATTTGTTTACTGATTATTTATTTACACCAAAATTATACAGAGTTTACACTGGTATACGAAGAAACGACGTAAGCATTATAAAAAATGTTGTTTTATTATCATTTAAGACCATATATAAAATTTGTGCACCAACATTTGAATAGAAATTGTTTCATAGATGGAAATAAATTTGATTATTATGAGTTAAATAGATATGAATAATTTATTATTCATAATAAAATTAAAATATTATTTCGCAATAAAAATATAATGGAAATAAAATATTTAAAGATGTATAATAAATTTTAAAATTATTTAACTTCATAGATTTTTCATTAAAATGTAGACTGTCTTTTGTTATGACTCATGTATTTTATTAAAATTGTTTTTAATTTATGTATCTAACTACCTTTATTGATCCTCTTCAAATTTGATATGAAAATAATTATTGTGCTATTAGTTTTAAAAGCATTATTGAAATAAATCAAGAAACATTTTTAACAATATTTAATCAGCATTACCTACATTTTATTTTTAATTTATAAATAATTGATACTTTTTGTGTGATTAATTAATTTGTTGTTACATTGATTTATTTTATAATGTTTATAATAAGTAAAATTCTATAAAACACTTTAAGTTTAACACTGCATATTTTTCAAACCATTTCTAAATTCAATGTATCAATACTTTCAATAATTATAAATCTTTTCGATATGCTAATTTTAAACTTCAAATATTATATATACTTCTATATTATGTTTGCGTGATTTTTTTTATTTAGAGTTTTCACTTGTGATTTCATTTTAGTTTTTAAGTACTTATATGTGAATATTTTAGTGACCACTTATCATTAAAGATTTAAAAAAAATTGTTTTTTTTTACCTAAGAACAAGTTTTAGATTTACCTAAGCCTAACATAATGCAGAAACTCTAGTTTTGGTGTTGAGATAACCCATTATATAAAGTTTAAGAAAATAATTTTTTTTCAATTTTTAAATGCAAAGGAATATTTTACCATATTTATTATTTATGTTTAAAAAACTACACATTTACTTGATTAATGGACCAGTATATTTTCAAAGAAAAAAAAAGAAATACAACTATGAAGTACTTAACAACAATATTCCAAAATAAAATTAATTGACATTTGAATTATTTAAAAATTGTTTGATATTAATTAATTTGTAACAAAATTTAAGTTATTGAACATTTTATAATTTTGTATATTGTATTTTTTGTATAAATCTATTTTTGTGACATGTTACTAGTTGTAATATATACAAACTGCCACTGCCATAGCGGCTAAATTACTCAAATTAGTACTCTTATTAGGAATAAAATATAGTAACTTATGGTATAATTTGTGATAAATATTTAATAATATTATAAATGCTGCACATTTTGTTTAACATTATTTTTAATTACTATAAATTAAATTGCATTAATAATTTTTTGGCCTTAACTTGTGTACATGCAAAGTAATTATTTTACTGAAATGCCAAATCATTAATTATATATTACATTTATTAAACGTAATGTAAATAATATATATATTAAAATATAAGCAAAATAATTTGTTAAAAACTTACCATTTTATAATAAAGTCTTATAACACAAGTACAAATAAACAACTCAATTAACACTAGAAATTGAAGTATCTAGTCCCAAGGACAAAATTATTACAGTAAAGGTTTTAATATATTTTATTTTCAGTGCAACAAATATACTCCTATTAATTTATCCGTAGAATATAATTTTTTTAAATTCAGCTTATTAATTTCTTTATAAATGAATGACCTTTGTAGTTAGTATATAGACTATTATAGATAAGATAATGAATTGCAAATAAATAATAAGATAATAAGGTACTATTGAAAACATATTTCCCATTATATATTTTGAAATTTGTTATGTAAACCAAAGGTTACTTATAATAGCTTTTTAACCATTTTGTCAGCTATGCATGAGTCATATAGACATGTATTATTAATATACCTATAATTTTAAATTTATTAATTTATTTAAAGAAAACAATTTTAGATTTTAAATAAATTTATGACTCATCAATTTGACATGACATTATTTTGCATTTGATATTTTGTATTCAACTACAGAATTGCATAAAAAATATGTTCACTAAATTTTTTTAGAATTTAAAAAATTTAAAAAATCATTATTTGCAGGGTACATAAAATAAAACATGAAATATATTAATGCACCTTAATTCAAGTTAGACGATAGTTTTTTAATATTGTGTTTAATTTCTTAGTTGTATGTTTATTGGTCAGCAATTATGACAATTGATTTCATTTATCTTTTCTTATGTGTTATTAATAACAGATATTAATTTAATATTTATTTTTCATTAAAATATTCAATTTGTTTAATTATTTATATACAAGCAATCTGCATATAATTTATATAAATTGCAAGGTATTTTAAATTTTTTTACTGAATTCAAATTAAGCATATTTTTTTAGGACTATATTCAAACATGGCAAGAAAAATTTGCAGACAGAATACTAACAACTGTATGTATGAATAATTAGCATAATTTTACTTAAGTAATAATATTATTATTACAAGTGTATATACTTATTTATAATGCTATAACCATGACATTTTAAAATGTGTACAAGAATAAAAATAGAACTAATATGATGGTATTTTTCATATTATTTTACAAATTATTATGATGTACAAAAAAAATTCTTGTAGTTTGTTAAAAATTATTATTCAATTTCAAATCTTATTGTGTTAAAGATACAGATTATGTATTATATTATGTATTATATTATTTAAGTCAACTTAAAAACAAAAAAAATTGTGATTTTTGTAATTTTGAAAAATATTTTTTAAACAGTTTTAAATTTATTTAAAAAACCTTGTTATTGACAATAGAATTATATATTCCTACATTTCAAATCTTTTCTCACAAATCAATCTTGTGTTAATATTAAAAAATATCTTAAGTTTGTTTATATTAAAATATTTAAAAATTGTATAGATTTTAAAAAAGTTATTCATATAAATGCCATAACTTAAAATATAAATCAACAGTAGAATACATAGTATTTTAGTTGCAAAATATACACATTCTTATAATAGTTGTATGCAATTAGGTTCTCAGGATATTTTAATAAAGAGGGATAAAGTTACAAAATAAGCCATAGGGCCCCCTGGGCTTTATCCCTACTACAACTATCATATTACATATATCTTTAATTCATATCATAATTTTTATTCAAACGTTTATTTATTTATTTAATTTTAATTTCATTCAATGAATACTGGGCCCTACTGAAAAAGCTTGTGTGGGAACCCAGGAGTTCTTACATTAAATACACCTTACATTTTCTAGAAACAAGTAAATAGCAAATACATATATATATATATTTTTTACAGTCCTATCTTCTTACACAAGTAGCCACTTATCTTTCACCGGCTTTATTGTACATGTATGGAAAATGGCTGCTAAGTCCAGACTTTATTAATAAGCTTTTTTTTCGAGGATCAATATTAGGCATAACCTTGGTTACAACTTTCCTATTAAGAAGTTATGGACGAGCTATTAATCCAAAATACAGAGCTTTTTATGAAGACCTTATTAAAGCTCAATTAGAATATTCGACTAACAATCAAGTATGTGATCTTAAAGAAAAATATTAATTTTATGTTAAAATTGTTATCAATTAATCCATATCTTATTTTAATACAAATGATTTCTCTCAATCTTTTTCAGAAAAAATTACATGGTTATGATTTTGATTTTTCGGCATGGCCTGTAGATTTTTCATGGACTGACAGTCAAGAGTATGTGCATTTAATTATTTTATCATTATTAGAATATATTTTTTAACTACAATTTATTTATATTTAGAAAAAGTTACAAACAAAATTTAACCAGTAATAATATTAAGCTGTTATACAAAATGTTAAGTAGCCCTAGTAGTCTCATTGGATTTATAGCAATTCGTACTTTTGGAATATCATTGATTTATCCTGGTTCTACATCAATTTTATTCTATTTAAGTATGATTATTTTATAAAAACAAATCATTAGTTTAAATTTAATTTGATGTAAAAATATGTTAATTTAATTTATATTACAGTGGATGAGAGTTTACAAAATGGAAGACGAGCTTTAATCACTTCGTTTGGAGGTGTAAGATATAAATTGAAAACTATTGATGGGAATTTTGTGGACTCAATGTTTATAGACAAAAGGTTTATTATAATTTATATTAAAGAGCAGTTATAAATTGTATTTAATAATAATCCACCTTATTAATTAAAAAATGTTATTACAGGCATTTAAATGATTCTTTAAACCAAAAACTAATTATTTGTAGTGAAGGAAATGCTGGGTTTTACGAAGTAGGAATTATGAGTTCAGCTCTTGAAACTGGTTGTTCTGTTTTAGGATGGAATCATCCAGGATTTGGTTATAGCACTGTAAATATATATTTATATTTATGTAAAAATACTATACTTATTTATTGTTCATTTAATTATTTTCTTTAATTTATTTTACTAAAATAGGGTATGCCATACATACAACAAGAAAAAAATGCTGCTGAAACTGTTATGGAATTTGCTATAAAAAATTTAAAGTTTAATCCTAATCACATTATATTATATGGATGGAGTATAGGTGGTTTTCCTTCCACCTATTTAGCTAAAAAGTATCCTGATGTTTATGCAGTAGTATGTATAAATAATTTAGGTATTTAAAAATATTTTTTGATTGTTTACTTATATTTAGATATTGGATGCCACATTTGATGATTTAACACCATTAGCAATCCCGCGAATGCCAAGCTTTGCCGAACAATTGGTGAAATTCACAGTCAAAGAACATACTGATTTAAATGTGGCTGGAAATTTATATCAATATCAAAATCGTCTCTTACTTATTAGACGATCCAATGATGAAATAATTGCACTCGAGTAAAGCATTTATTTATCTTTTTACGCTCTTATTATTATATCTATAAACTATTTTAATCATTTACAGACCTCAAAATGTCAGTACAAATCGAGCAAATCACCTTTTAGAATCAATTTTAGAATATAGATTTCCAAAACTTTTTTCTGATGAATCTCGTTCAGCTCTTTGGGTTTGGTTATCTACCTCAGGTGAACAAAAAAGTAAGTCATTATAAACAATTTAATTTAAATAACTTTTATATGAATAAAAAATAATAAATACAGTTATATAGTTACAAATAAAATTAATTCAATATTTTCATTATCAAAATATATCATGATAGCTACACATAATATATTATTTTTTATTGCTTTAATACAATATTTTTTGTCATCTATAATAAAATATATTTACTTCTTGTAACAGAACTACACACATTTTTATTTATAGATCATAGACACATTTAAATTATGATAATTTATTATATTGTTCATGTTTTTAAAATTTAATTTCAATATATTTATTAGTTATCCATGGAACTTATGCATCATATGATATACATTTTATTATTCATTTAATTTCACTCAAAATAATAAAATGTAACTTAATGTTTTTATTATTGTTAATCAAAATTTACTGTAATAGTTAAAAATTTAAATGTTTAATGTGTTATTGTTAAAACCAGAGACGGTTTGAACGTTTATATCTTACCTGGGCAGTATAATTTAAACCAACCCCCCTATTCTGAAAAAATTGTTCTGGTTTCCTTCGATCACATTAAAACTACTTAAACGCTAAAACGTAAATTATGTATCTCAAAAAATGTTCATAAATATACTGGTATGCCTACTAAATTTCAATTTATTTAAAAAAAAATGTATATAAAAAATGTTTTTTACCAGGCACCGCCTGGTAGTAAGTGCTTACAAGCCTCTGGTCATAACTGACTATAATATTTAATCACGGATATATTTTAATAATAATAATAATAATAATAAAAATAATAATAATAATATTAAATTTATTGAATTATCACATCTGCAATGCAAAATTATGGATATAACACCATTGTTATACAAGAAATATATGTTAATAATATTTTCAGAACAAGTTCTTATGCAATATGACGTAGATTTGATTCAACAATCAAAACTATATCCTTTAGAAAACCCAATTTATCCATTAAATATTGGTTATAGCTGGAAAGATGAGGATAAAATTAAAATGTTACTTTATTTGGTGAGTTATAATTTTTCAGGGTTGATATAAAAATGTAATGTTAAAACAGTTATTTTATTTAAAGCATTGTTTTTATTTTATATTATTTTTAGGCCGATTGTTATATGAAAGACTATGATTCCACACATTGCACTCCATTACCAGTACGGTATTTACAAATGATCATTTAAACATTTAATTTTCCAAAGGATAAAATGTATTATTTTTAAGAACGGGGTGTATTATTTTAGATGTAATTTTTTTTAAATTTTATATAAATCTTATTAAGAACAATTAGTTTTTGTTAAATAATATTGTTTTATACATTTTTTTGTACATAGTTATTGGATGTTGATTTTGAGTTTAAATAATAAACAAATAAATAAAACAATACATATTTCAATGTGTTATTATCATTATAGTTAACTTGTAAGTACTAAATGTTTGAAAATTAAATCATATTGATTTGACATTGTGAAGTGGTATTCATGTGTTACATGTTACATGGGCAGTCTTTCCACAACCACATGTGGTTATATAATCAACCCAAAATTATTTAAATTTAAATTGCACTTTTTAAGTTGATTGGTACATACAATTTTGTCTGAAATAACAACAGTTGTATGAGCATAATGATACAAGAACACAAGTCTAATAAATAGACAAGTTTTCTACTCTGAAGTTAAATTATAATAAAAGTTCCACAAATTGTTTACCAATGATAGCCAATTTAAATTGTTGTCAAATACATATTTAATAAAATATATTTTAATAACTTAATAACATAATATTATTATTATTATGTTATGTTAATAACTTAATAATTAGATTATCCAGATTTCATGTGATTACTTTATCGCACACCTATATCAAAATAATAACAACTCAAAAAAACGCTTTTTTCTGGAATGTCGGTTTCGATGGTGGTACCTCGGTATCATTCATTCAATAAAATGTACTTACATTGCCATCCGACGGAGAATATTAAAAATAAAGATAAACCTGTTTTGTTGATTTATGTAATTTCTTTTGTAGAATCCGAATATATGTTTAACTAAAAAAAACCAAATTTTTGAGTTGTTATTGTTTTGACATGGATGTACGATATATATATTGTATCATCTATAGGAGGAGAATAAAAAATTTGATTAGTTATTGAATATGAGGAATTAACTGTACAAACACCTTTGAGGTAGTGTTCAATCAAACAACTTGTAATTTAACACAGTAGTTTTAGTGATTGTATTATTATAAGATAAATTGTCTTATAGTAAAAAAATGCAGTTTTATATATATATAAATAATAATCTTATCAAATAATATGTATATTTAACAAATAAACAAAGTAATAATAAACAATTTTTTTATTAGATAAAAATATATATAAGGATCAATATGTCTTAATTTAAGTATTAAAATCTATTTAACCTAAAAGTACTGGTCCATTTTAATTTAATTAAAGGTTCATAATTATTAATTATCATGAAATTTACTTCCTCTTTAAAAAATATAATTGATCTTCTATTTCAAAAAACTCAACATAACAAATATTTTCATAGAACTATAGCATTTTAGTTGTTAAAATATTTATATTTAATGAATAAATTTTATAATTGTATTTGGAGCTATCAAGTGTGCAAAATCAAATTTTGTAAATAAGAGCTTTTGACACCATCATGGATTATAATTTACCTATAACACTAAATTATAATGATTTATATTATAAAATTACAATATAATTATTAAAAATATTATTATTTGTATAGATTTTTTCCAATAAAAACATTTGTATTATATTTAACAAATTTAAAAGAATTATCAAATTTTTTAACAAGAGGTTTCACTGTATTTCACATATTTATTATTTTTGGAAGCTATGTTTTTACAACTAAAATAATATTTGATGATTAATATTTTCACTTGAAATTGGACTAGATTATTTTTATTAGAGAATTTTATAGTTAAGATTTTATTAATATCAAATTAAAATGTAAAATGTATTTATCCCATGCAGCTACTACATGTCGATGGTGGAGGTGGAGCTGGAGTACTAGGTCCAAATCCACCAAAACGTCTTTGTGGTCTCAGAGTCCTACAATAATAAAAACGTTTTATATTAAAATGTTGCCAAAGAATTAAGTAACAAATAGTATTTCTAACAATTCTATTATTGATGTTATATGAACTGAGGTGGAACTAATTTTTATGAATTACATTTAAGCTAATAGTTAATAACTTTCTATAACAAAAATATTTGAACAATGAAAATATGGATTTAAGAACTTTAAACTTATTTAATTATTAATATTATTTACTAAAACTTATTTATTATTATGCTTACCCACTACTAGAAGAACCTGGCCGTCTGTATGTAACCGAATATTGATTACCCCATCTAGTTGAGTCAGGCCTTACTAAGCTTTGAAAACTGTAAAAAATTTTTTTAATTTTTATGAAAATCAGTGTTTAAGAATATATATTATAATTTGGCTCATTAAAAATTAAACATTACTAATCAACAATTATTTAACCAGCTAAAGATAAATAGTTGATAAATCAAAAAAAAAAAAAAAAATGTGTAGGTAGATAACAAATATTAAATTAGAAAGATTAGCTATATGGTATGACTCTTCATAAACATGTATTGTTATTTCAACTTTGAATAATTATAGTAAAGAGAAACAGAAAATAGCTTAAAATACTGCAATATTAATTTCCATTATATGCACAACATTTATAAGAATTAAAATATAATTATTTTTCAAAAACTACATTATATTTTTCAAATTGAAAAATGCTAAATTAATGCTTAATAAGCAATGAATCAATAGTTTAAGTAATTTAAATAAATACTTGATATATTGCAAAAAAATATCTTTAACGGAAATAGTTAATAATTTGAAACACTTACAAGAATGAAACAAAGTTTATTACACCCCAAAATGAGTCAATAATTTTTTTCTTTATTGGGACTGTTTCTTGTAAACTTCCACCTGAAACATAAAATAAATTAATATTTATATAAAACATTCAGTGTCAGACAATAAAAACATGAATGCATAATTTTAATCATTCACCTATACTAAGAAAATTTAAATTATTATTAAGTGCATGTCCTAAAAGTATAGTTGCATGAATAAGATGGTATAAACTTTAAGTGATTTTGATAACAAACTTTATGAATATAACTCATTACATTTTTTTATAAATAATATAACTCAAATTACTATTAAAATAATTGCATAAGTATAATTCAATAGTACCCTATTTGTTTTTATAATTAATTCATTTTATATATATAAGTTATTGCAAGTTGTAGTTAATTATTTTACAAGTAAATTATTAATGTAATTTAAAATAATTTTAAAGTTTATATTTTTTATTTATAGATTCACATTTCCCACAACTAATGATGAAGTTAGATTTCAAATACTACGGTTGGAAAATATTAATTATTTGTAATTTTAAGTACATAAAGCATATTTTTAAAAATGTTATGTGAAAATTAATAAGAAATTTTAATACATTATACACTAAAGCTAATATTTTTAGGTTTCCTTAAAACTTTGTTAAATTAAGCATTGTTTTAAATAGCATAATTTTTTTTTATTCAAAATGAAATAATAACAATACAATTAATCATATGTATAGAAGAAAATATTGAGTTCAACACTATAATTCCAAACAAAATAATTGTAGTGACCATATATTACTTGTGTAAAGTACATTATATAATTTGATTTAATAGTATTTTTATTTTTTAAATTATTTTTAGAGACTTGCAAGTTTAGTTGACACAGCAATATACCTTATCTACATTCAGTACATTACAACTTGGGTGATAACAAATTGTTTGTATTGTTCGAAAAAAACCAAAATTATAAACAGGTATGCAAAACAAACTTAGAATTTAGAAAGATACAAAAAAACTATTTTAAATATTCAACAGTTTTGTAAATTATAGTGTATATTAATAATTGATTTCATTTTGGTAATAGTGAAGATTATAAATAATTAATTATTTGAAGTAGATAAGTATTGATCATGGAAAGAAATGATTTTTCTACTACTTCTAGATATTAAAAATGAATCTCTTTATAGCCAGAATTAACCATTTAAGAAATAAAATGTGTCTAGTAAACTTAGGACCAATACCGGATTAAACATTTGTGGGCTCCTAGACAATTAAAATTTTGGGCCCTACAAAATTATTTTTTAAATACATCTTTAACATCACTATCCAATAATTAAAATAAATAGCTTTAATAATAACCAACTATTATTAATAAATAAAATCATAGTTATTAAATATCTTTATTTGCAAGAAAAATGAATGAATTATTATATTACTTCTATTTTTTTCAAAATAACTTTATTTTTTTTTCTGCATATAATACCTACAACTTAATATATCTTATATTTTATAATGACTTTTGTCCTATAAATTCGTAAATAAAATATGGTATAATTAAATAAAAAAATTTAGTTTTCCGTTTTCACAGGGCCTCTTAAATGAGTGAGGGCCTAAGACGGGCGCCTACTCTGCCTATTGGGTAATCCAGCACTGCTTAGGATGATCAGATTTAGAAGAAAAATCGATGGACAGTGACATGGTGACAAAATCTCAGACCCTGACACAACTATATAAAATTGCCCACCCACCCTTACAAGAATAACGGGCTCTCATTAAACTGTATTTTTTCTGTGCTCTGTATAAAATTGACCTACAGTTTTGTCATATAATTATGAATACTGATCTGTGGTGATTACTAGTAGATGTATTATAAATAAAATAGGAAGTTGTTGGTACCCATCTCTACCATATATTACTAGGGCTAGCGCGATTGCAATTGCATGCACCCGTTACCACCCCACTATTGGCAGACACAATCGAAAATTATTGTCGTACAGCTCAAAGCAATGATTATATCTGTACCATACGTCGTTTACAACTTACTTTGAGATACGTAAACCATTTCGCTCGGGCGTTCTTGAAACAAATTTCCGGTAATGAGTAGTTAGCGTAAAACAGTTTTCGCGTTCGCCACGGAGTGGAGAGCCAATAGCCCACTACAGAGATCACTTCCGGCCGCCAGAAGCACACGGACAACAACGACGACAAACTAGCTACGCAATGCAAACGTCTCGAACTGACGTGTTGTTTTTATTATTATCAACCGTGGGTCGACTACGGATATTGCAATACGTACCTTATCAAAAAAAAAAACCCACAGATACGGAGGCGTCCGTCCGTCCGTTATCAATGCCACGTAAATGAATTGACCAGCCGTCGGCGACGGCCGACCTTGAAAAAGCCAAACATCTGATCGACTTCAGTTGGATGCATTGTGCCCGTTATCAACGTTTTTAATAATATTAATTATTAAACCCGACATGTATAGGTGTATACATTTTACATGTATGGTCGTGCCGTAATATGTATTTATGTATATATATATAGTTAATTACAAATTACAAAACTCGCGTTAAACGTACGGCGATTGACAAGAGAAAATGAAGGCATTTCATTTTTTTTTGTCGTCACTTACCATTATTTTCTGTTGTTCATCGCCGAACAACTTGTCGTAAACTTACGACTCCGTTCACGACTCTTTTTTTAAATTTGATCTGGACACGGGAAAGTTTCAAAAAAAAATAATTATAAAATAAAATTGAATCGTATTTCGCCACTCGTTTTCTGTTCGCTGACAAATCCGTAAAATCTGTCGAAAATTCCAATCAAAATCTTGGTGAGTTCTGGAATAGTATTTGTACGCAATACTCGTGCGTTGGTCGTTCTCGTATTTTACCTAATTTACTACTGTTCCAATTAATCCGCGGCACATAGTGAATTGACGTTTAGCATCGTCGAATTATAATGTGCCATTTACGTTTATTCTTAAATTTTTTTCCAACTTTTACTATTACTATTATTATTATTATTATTATTATTATTGTTATTTATGAGATAATCATTGAGTAGATAAGTACACAGTGTACTGTTTAGCATGGTGGACGGACTTGTTTATATAATTAGGAGATAGATTTTTAAATAAACATGTTCGTAGTATTTGTATGCATTTGTTATTATTAATAAAGCCTATCATAATTTGATAATTATATTTAGTTATCATAATTGTATAATCCACATGAACAAGTGTAATGTTATTCTCCATGTAAATGTATAGCACATATTATTATTAATAAAATGTCGCTGTATGCATTTGAATGTTAGTAATTTGTGAACTTTTTTTTTCAGATCAAACGGCTTACTGTTTCTAGCTTATGACAATGCAGTTCTTAAGACGACAAAAAAATCAAAAAGAATAGCAAAAATGAATTTTTCTGAAGTGTATGTTTTCATACTTGAATCATAAGGTATTTTTAAGTTTAAATGTGTTCATAAATAACTATATGTATGTATTATATTTTAATGTTATTCTAGATAGAATATATTTTACTTGAAGTTGACTGACAGCTATTATGTAAGTTATCTTTTGAACCGTCTTATAATTAATAAATATGTGTAATTAAGTTTTAATTTTGTTTTAGTTGTAGTAAAATAAACATAGAATGTACAATTGGAAAAATGATGTCTATGGAGGTAATGGAACTGTTCACTGCATTAGAATCCAACCATCCAAAAGAAGTAGAAGATGTAAAACATAAGTTTCATGAACAATTTAATAATAGTAAGAAACTTAAACAAAAATGTAAGTACTAATCTATAAACTAAAATTATGATCATTATTAATAGCACGAGAGCCATGGCTATTGAATGGAATGTATGATTATTTTATGTCAACGGGATCACAAAGAGCTGTAGAAGTATTAGTTGCTGTTAGAGAACCACATGACAAACATCTTTTTGATAAGTATGTTATAATGATTATCAATTATTGTTTTCATTATTTATTGATTGTCAATGTTTATTTGTTCTTTTTATCTAAATACTTGAAATATTGTATTTAGACTTGGTGAGGGCTTACAAAGAGGAAATCGTCTTCAAGCACTTACTTTACTGGGCCATGTAGTAAAAAGGCAACCAACATGGTTAATTAATATAACAAACCATAATTTACTCAAAGAATTAATTAAACTTTTAAAGGTATGAATAATTATAATTATTATAGTAGTATAATTTATATTGTTAATTTATTAATTTATCATTATTTATTTAGACGGAAAGTGAAATAATACCAATAACTAGTGCTTTGCTTGTTCTAAATGTTCTATTGACTGTCATTCCTGCACTAATTTCTTCTTTTCTACCAGAAATTTTTGAAGGATTTAGGTACATATTATTTAATTTGTTTACCATATTTAAATTATTAATTTAAACTAATAATTTAATTTATATTAATTTACCATCTTTGAATGTTTTTAAATATTTTTAGTCGATTGGCTGCATGGAATACTTCACAAAAAAATAGAGTTCCAGAAATACATTTATTCCATCTTCGGATATCGTTGTATGTATTATTTGTTCAGTTGTATAGTATGTATCCATGTTCATTTGTGTTATATCTGAAGCAACAATATAGTGTAGCTGATAACAATTTAGTTTTCACTCATACGATTAAAGTAAGTAATATTTGATAATATTAATTATATTACTATAATTTTTAAATTTTTTTTTTTATTTAGCCTATGGTAGAAACAATGCGTATGCATCCAAGTCTAATTATTAGTTGCAAAGATGTGGAAACATCAACAAATAGGTATGTATAATATAAATTATTTTATCATAATATTATTGTAATAAAAGTTCTTTTTGTCTTAAAATACACTTATGTTTTACAGTACAATTTCTTTAATAGTATAAAATATCATAACTATCAGAAATACATTTTTTTTAACTAACATATTTTTCATTATTATACTTTGAAAATTAATTTCTTCCGATATTTGTAACTGTAGAGGTTTTATAAGCTTTATATTAATACATTATTACATACATTACATTTGTACGCTTATAAAACAAACATTAATAAATACAATTATTTTTATATTTTATGCAATTTATTTTGAACTTCCTTATTTGGTATAATATAATTTAGAATTATTTTTAAATTTGTTCATTATTGTTCATTAGATTTGCATATTTTTATCAACAGGTGGAAGAAAATGGAACAACATGATGTTGTAATGGAATGCACAAGATATACGTTATTAGAAAATGGGGATAAATGTTACCAAAATGCTTCAACTTGGGCTAATACTGGATCAAGTTTTTCGTCAGCACTTGGTAATTTTTAATTTGATATGTATTTTAAAACATTTATATTAATTATTATGTGTTCTTACGAATATTTTATCACTTAAACCCAGTTCACGTTAAAATACAATAGTTCGCGCAGGTGGGCGTAGTCAGTAATACCCCTTCTATTCTGACGCATATCATAGGCAAACCAGTTTTGCAACGATGTATCACATTACAGCCATATAAAATGGGAGCCAATCAGAATGCTTAACGTCGCGTTATCGTGATTGTAAAGTGGGGAGCTAATCAAAACACGGCGTGGGATAACGGAAACTGCGCAGTGGCGTTTTTCTGTAATCGAAAAATGTTTAATTCTCCATTATTCACCTTCGTCTCAGAAACGTATTAATAAATATATATTTATTTAAAATAAATTTTAAATCAATAAATCAATACTATATAATATATAAACAATGAATATATTTCATTTTGCACAAAAATCAAAATGATGTATGATATTTATTAATTGGCTATTGCAGAGGAGAGATTAATATAAAGATTTTTAGAATTTTATAAAACTTCTCATGCATTTTTTTAATCTCCAGCTCTTATTTCTTTAACTTTTGTCAATTTATATTAAACTATTTATACCCGCAGGCTATAAAGATATAGTTAATTTTAATAGTTTCAAAAAAACCTTTCATATATTAATTAATATTGATAAAATAATTAATAATGCTTGTTGTTTAACTGTTATATCTACTAGTGGCAATTATACATGATTGTCAAGAGTAGGGGAGGTGAAAATAAAGGCAACTCCCTCCCGTGAGCATCAATGTATATTATATATATACAATATAAAATATACTTGCAGATTATTGGTATAAATTTATAATAATGTTAATGTATTAATAATATTAACACACTTTAATAGAAATTTATTTAAAAAAAGATATAAATGTATTGGTTTATTGACTTCAAATTTATTTTATAATAATTATATAAAATTTGCAGATAGGTGTTGGTGGGCCAATGATATACTAAATATAAAAAAAACCAAATCCCAAGAGAGCGATACACCTATCTGATATCTAAATAAAACCTCATAAGTTAAATTTTATTTATATAAAAAAAATATTTATAGGTATTAGGTATTATCTACTAATTGAAAAATTATTTTTAAAAATAATATTGAAAAAAATTGTCCCAAGTTGACTTAAAAAAATTAATTGATATTCAAACATTGAATATTATTTCATAATTAGATACTTTTAATGAGATATTATTTAATTTTTTTTTAGATGTGTTAAAATCAAGTATCGGAGCTACTGGGGATATTATCAGTGTAAATAGTATCAGAGATAAAGAATTATGGAGTCCAATGTTAAGTTGTGGAGAGTTTCATAAAGATAGTGTTAAATCAATGCCTACTACTCCTAATATACAGGTAAAATAATGAAAAAGTGATTAAATATTAGCAATTATAGAACATTATTTAATACATTTTTAGACATATTATAATGCTTCACTTTTCAATCATAACGAACATTCACCTCCTGAAGCTGCTATTGAAGCAACTCCTGAGACTACTCCTATCAGGGTAAATATTTATTTGGTTATTGTTTGTTTTATAAATTGCTTATAAGTTAGTTTTAACCTATAAAGTTTATCATGCATTTTGGCTGTTCAACTGAAATTTACTAATACTTATTTATATTACTGTTATATTTACCTTTTTGTAAATCTGTAAATCTGAACGTCTTAAAATTTGTAAATGAATATAGAACACTATACTTTTATAGTGAAACCTTCTTTAATGGATACCTCCAAATTATGGATATTTTTTTCGGGAATGGGGATATTTTCACTACTTTTTTTGTAGGAACCTCTAAGTATGGGACACTAATTAATCGACATTTGAGTTTTCAAAATTAATAATTTTTACTGTAAATTAAGAATGATTGTGAAATGTTTGAATAAAAGTCAATAGTCATTGGAATATTATTGTATCGATGCAATGCTGTGACCATTGCGTTTTCATATTAGTATTTAATTGTTTGTGATGTGAATACAAACATATTTTTCTTATAAATGTTAATTTGTAAGATGTATGTATTTAATTAATGTAAAAGTAACATTATTCTCATTTATATTTTAATTTAATAAAAATAAAATTCCTCCCTTTAAATCAGTGGTTCCCAACTGTTGTGCTATGGCACATTGGTATGTCATAAGCGCCCTTTAAGTGTGCTGCGATAAATTGTTTCATAAGTATGTATTTACCAGCTTATTATTGATATTCGAGATGAAAACTGATCGAACTAATCGTAGATATATATAATATTATTTATTGTAAGTATGTCCTTCGCAGCCATCTTGATCGATCGATTGTATTAATTTATTTCACAATAAATAAACCTCTAATAGAGTAGACTGTAAATAGTATACATATATATATATATAATATGATTCACATAATATATGGATTGGTGTGCCATGAAAATTTTGTTGGAGATGAAGTGTGCTGCATTGTTAAAAAGGTTGAAAACCATTGCTCTAAATAGTAGACATTTCTGAATAGTGGACAAAGTTTTAGCGACCAAAAGTGTCTGGTACTTAGAGGTTTCAATGTATATATTAATTGTAGATCAGTATTATTATTTTTACTATTAAAAAAACATCTTGTTTTCTGTATGTTGTCTTGTAATATTGTATAATTGTACGTAATGTTAACTTTAGAATAAGCAATCAGAAATTTGAATAATTTACAAGTGATATTGTAACTAGCTATTGACGTGTTGGACATATTTTATTTAAATTTATAATAGACTACTAGACACCTTAAGACTGGCACTCTATAAATCTTAGCTTAGTTAAGATTTTACTAGTTGTCAAGATAAATAGTAATTTATTGTTTGATTTTGGTGTTGTGTTGATTATGGGAAGAAATCTACAACAACCAAACTAAGATATTTTGTCCTCTGTATACTCCAAAACTAAACATCATATATTGTTAAGTTAAGAATTTGCAAATCAATGAAATTAAAAATGAATAAGCTGTTTTGATTGATCATATCTATAATTGTGTTTCCTTTGTGTATTTTTTTTATGATATAATATATTTTATAGTATATATTTTATAATTTTATTGATTCATTAGTAGTTTTACATTGTTTTTTTTTTAAACTAAATCTTTTTCTTTTTAGAATTTCTAAATTCATATAATAATTATTTTTAATATAATGAAAAATATAGGAATTTATAATTAGCTTTATTTTTCAATATGTAGCAACACTGTTTTGAGTGCTGAACATTCTTTTTAACTAACTTCAGATATTTGTTATTAATACTTTAAATACTTTGAGTTTTCAACTATTTTGTATGTGTGCTTTTATTAATTAATTTGATTTACTGCTGTATACCAATACATTATACCAACCAAATTATGTTGATTCGTATCATAATTGTTATATTTTTAGCTTTACAATTTATTATAAATCATAATATTATGTAACTCATTATTTCATAATATCATGAGAATGAAATATTATTTTTTTCTTTAATAGGGTTCTTGTTCATTATGTTCCTTGGTTTATTTAGTTTAATGTCTGAATTGATTTTAAAAATTAGAAACTATATGTACTTATTCATTATTAGTTTTATTTTACTTTTCTGTGGTTATGAATTATTTTTATTAATATATTTTTTAAATTTTAAGTTGAATACTAAATGTACAGTCAAAAGTAGGATACTAATTATTTTTTTATTGCATTATATTAAAAATTAAAATATTCTTTTATCAAAATCTCATTAAAAAATATGGCCTAGTTTTAAACATGATTTCTATTTAATTTTGATTTTATTATATATCTATAATTTATCAAAAAAAAAAAAAAAAAAAATAAGCATTATTTGTTATGGTGACTGTAATTCTTCTAAACATTGTTTCTTCTATCGCTTTATTTACGTTGCAAAGTACATGTATTTTGACTTATTCCAAACAATGTTGAAAGGATGTTATATATCAACAATCAAGGTTGCCATCTATAAATTCTACAGTAGTCAGAGCATTGAATTCATTTGGCTTAGAAAATTTATCTAAACGTAATTCATCAACACCAAATTCTCAACCTAGTTCACCATTGAAAAAAGAAGGGTTTGTTTTTCCTTCAGAAGACATCCAATCACAAGCACTTGTCCGTAGAATGGACAGAATGATAATGGAACGTAATCAGGTAGAATTAGGCCAAACTACAAAACAAATAGTGATAGTAAAATGTTATTTATTATTATAAAGATCTCTTTTATTTCATAATTTAAATACTATAACTCATTATTTCAGATCACTGAAACAAGTAAAGATGATTATAGTCCAGAAATCAGAATGTTGGCTCAAATTCAATCAACAAATAATCCCGAAATAATACAAGTAACAATGAATCAAATATTATATTCAAAATTGGTTTTCAAAAATGTTCATTTACTAACAATCTATTAATGTTTACAAGACTGGAGACGAAGATGCTATTGAATGTGATCAACAGAGTAATGGATCACCCTGTCAAAATTTTGAGGGGGGATTGCATATGCCTGATTCTACTTCATTAAAAGAATTTGTAAAAACTGTTCGAACGAGAAGACGTTATCATAGTCAATGTACTCCAGAGAAGACTGTTAATGATACTGGTATAAACATTATATTTATTTAATTTTTTTTTCTTCATTAGTTCTCCATATAGTATTGAAGAATAACATCTATTTAAGTTTATAGTGTAAAATAAAATAATTATTTTAGGACAAAGTACAGGAAGTAGTCCTAAGAAAGGGCCAGAATTTTCATTGCTCAGTAGTGTTAGACGTGCAAATTCATGCCCTGAAATAAAAAAAACAAATGGAAGTAGTATTTCTTCTGGTACTTCACCGTTACAAGAAGAAACTGAAGAAGACCATGGAGATGATATAAACATTAGTAATGGCCATACTAGGGAAGTACCAGTAAGTTTATTGACATTTTTATTGTTCATTTTAATTAAATTTATTAAAAAACATACATTTTTTTATTTTATTTTTTTATAGGAAAATAATCTAAAAGTAGATAATCATGAAACTAGAGTACTGACTGTGTCTACTCAAACAGAACATATTTTACCTTATGAACATTTGTTTTACAGTATATTTCCTGCATATAATGATCCAAACAGTAGTAGGTTTTAAATTACCTTATTTAGACATTTTTCTTCATATTTTATTATATTAGCTAAACAATTTTCATTTTTATTACAGGCATTAAAAGTCAACAAAACAATAGTCAAGAGGATGAATCTTTATCTTTAATTGAAAAGTATGTACGGACATCGTCTATAGTACTTCATCATCGTCAAACTGCACAATCTTGTGATGATATTAAATTACTTCAAGATCAAATCACCTTGTTGACTTTACAATTACAATTTGAACGTAACCGTAGGGAAGTTCATGCTGAACGTAACCGGAGACTTTTAGGTAAATCGCGAAGTAGTCGAGCACTTGATGAACATAATTCAGCTTTAGTAAGTAATTTATTAAATATTAAAAATAAAAATAAATTATTTTACTTTTATAAACCATGCATTAAAATGTATTTTCAGAAAGATCAGGTTTTGATGCTACAGGTTGAACTGGAGCAAGTAACATCAGGATTTGAGAAATTCAGACAAAACTCATTAAAGCAAGTTAATGAACTTAAAGATAGTGTATCACATTGGCAAAATGAAGTTAGAATGTGTTTATTATAGTAATTGTTGCTTTAATCTAATTAATTTATTACTTGCTAATAATTTAGTGTTTAAAATATCAAGAGGAAACTAAAGAAGCTAAGAACAATTGCTTAAAATTAGACCAACTTTATAATGGGGAGAGAGTAAAGACTGCTGATGTTACTAAAGTTAGTTTGATAATGATAATTTATTTTTCTTTGAAGATTAATGTTATTGTTGTTATATTTGTAGCAATTATCTGAAACTAAAGCAGAGCTGTTCAATACTTTAAGTGAATTAACTATTGTGCAAGCTGCAGCTGATATTAGTAAAGAACTAAAAAATACAGTGACAAATTTGCAACGCGAACTAGTCATGTGTGGTGAGATACAATCTCGACAGCGAGATGTAGTTACTCATGTAAATGCTCTTAGGTATGATGCCACTAATGCTATGTTGAGTCAAGAATCATACAAACATAATTTAAATGGTATGTTTGAGGGAAAATAATACATTTTGATAAATAATTAATAATTTAAATATATGCTTTTAATACCATTTTAAACTTTACTTAAATTATCTTAACCTTTAATATTTCATTAAATTAAATGTTTTTTTTTTCAGTAAAATATGAAATATACTTTAATTATGTTGTTCAATATTAATTTATTGATGGTACATTTTTGTTTACAGAGCTTCAAGACATGTTGTATCATAAGTCTGCATTATTGGAAGCATCTAATGCTCGCATTGCTGATCTAGAAGTGAAATTAAATACTAAGGATGCTTGTATGCAAAAAGATAAAAATGAAATAGAGTTGATAAAAGAACAATGTAATAAACAACTATCTGCATTAAAAGAAGAATGTAGGGTTTTGAAAGAAATGAAATGTCAGTATGAAGAAAATAAGGAAGAAGAGTATTTTAAGAAAAAATTTCTTGAAGACTTACCTAAATTTAGTTCTGACATGGTTATGGTTGACTCAAATGCTTCAGTTAGTGATCAAGATGCAAAATTTAGGCTTAGTATGATGGTGGATGAAGGAAATTGTGATGACGCCTCTGTTTTAACTCCAAAGTAAATACAAATTATTATTATTGTTATTGGATGTACTGTGTTCAGCATGATAATTTGACTTATAATTATATAAAGTATTAATATATATTTATAATTGATAAAATACTGGTCATTTAATGTATTAATTATTAAAATAATTCCTGGAATTTTTCATTGTAATACATAATTTATTGTTATGTATTCAATATTAATCCTCTCATTGTTCTTAGGTGATGTTAATTTGTATGTTTTATATTTTTTGTTTTAACTATGATGACATGTTGAACAAATAAAACACCTGATTGCAAATGATATTAAAGAAAAAATGTTTATTATATTTTTAAATTTTGTACAAATTACTATTTATATCAATAATAGTAGTTCTTGTTTATATTTAACTCCTTAGTAAAAATTTCCTTAATCCTTGATTTAGAAAATATTTAATAAAAACAACAGTTAAATTCAATAGCTTTAAAAAATATTTGTGTTGTAAGTATGGTTGACTATTGTTGATAAGTAATAAAAACTATATTTATTATGATTAAACGAGCGTGCCCAATTACAATAACTTTGAGGAAACATAAAATATATATATGAATTTATTGCTCATTATTGAAATTTTATTATATTTTATCGATCAATGTTTGTGTACTTAAATATAGAAAAAAAATTCAATATTTTCTTTGACATATTAAAAATAATTTAAACGTTTTACAAATTTCATCATTATTCATGTAATTCTAATCCATTTTAATCTGTTTTCAGGTAAAAATTTGATCTCAATTGGACACATAACATCATTAATAAAATGGATTTTAGTGTTCTGTATACAAGGATACTTCAATTAATTAATGCCTAAATTTTCATTGAATAATTATTATTTACATTAACTATAAATTTATTTTCCAACACTAATTGTTTTTAAGTTTAAATGTTAATATTTTTTAATTGTGGCATTAGTAAAGTTATTTCATACAATATTGTTACTATTTAACTTCATGAATATATAGTATAAAATACTACAATTTTGTATTATATACAAGCATATGCATATAACTAGTTGAATGATATAAAGTAAAATATTAAAATGTCTTGTTTGATACTTGAATTTAATTATTGTATTATTTTCTTCATAGTATTTTTTACTTAAATTATTCATTTTTATATTTATGATTTAAATTAATTAATTTGAATGAACTATTGTTTCAAATTAATAACCATATACATTGTGCACATGTTAAATATGTAATTATAGAAGTCTTTAGAGAGATAAAATGCATTATTGCGAATGAAGAGATTATATTTTTGGGTTGTAATATATTTATTAAATTGCTAAAATGTTTTTAATGGAACAAGAATTAAATTTGAAAATAATTGTAACGTGGTTAATCAATATTTTATATTTTGTGGCTATTCGAAACATGGTTTAGTGAAACAATATTATAACTAGCATTTTATATAAGTTTTAATTTCAATTAAACATTTTAATCGATGAACACTGAATTATTGTTCATAACTATTGTTTTTTCACAAACAAATAACTTGCGTGAAATCTATTTACCTTAAATGTAAAATGTAAATGGATTAATGTTTTCAATAAATGTTATTTTATATGTTACTTGTTTGTTTGATTGATATTTTCTCTCGTGTTCCTTTACTGTGCCTGCGTACATTTAAGATAGAGTCTGACCCACCCAGTCCCCTCCTACCACGTGCTTGTTTCCATCACATTGTACGTCATTATAATACATTATACTGCGATGATGATGGATGCGGTTGTATGTATGTAAATAATTGTGCTATATATTTCGTTGGACGGCAACACCTTGTTTACTCATTCGGTGGACGTCCTTGAGCACTTGGACGAGACGGACACGGCTGACGATGCCATTGGCCAGTTTTTGGTCCGTCACGCCGACACTAAATGTCACCGAGTCGCAGGGTCGGATTATTGTCATAATTAAAGACCTCATTTATAAGAATTTTAAATCATAAAATATAGGTACATGCAAAGATGCACTAAAAAAAATCAAAAAATGCAAAACATGTAAAATACAATTTCAATTTTTATTAAATTGTATATTTGATTTTAATTTTGCAGTGTTAATTGTTTAATTTTTGCTCTACAGTTCTGAGAGGTCCCTTCTTCGATCGTTCCGCAGTGTATTTCTTCGAAAACTTCGAGATTTCTCGATCTAAAAAAATTTGTTAAGGCGGTGTGGACTTAATTGTGAGCGTTATCGCGTAAAAGTTCCGTCTTGGGGCAGGATCCTCGGATGTGCGGCAATGTTTTAACGATTTTATTTTCATTGCAGGACGGATTTCTGCAATGGGAGATGACAATTTTGAATGATTCGCCAGTCGCTAGAAATCGAAGGGTTACAGCTAGTCTTTCTTGTACTGATATAGGTTTTCTTAAACCTGTTTATTTTTTGGCAATTTTATGTCCGATAAGTATAATTAGCAAATCAAAATCTGTTGACGTCATTTCTCATAAAATTTTGAAATTTTCCATTTATTTCTTGAGTCTTTAAATCGTCTAATAGAGTATTTCCATCCAGTATTTCTGCCCGTTGTGTGTATAAATGCGTAGTCCACCATCGTCTTTGTCTTTTACTCTTCTTCTTAAGTGTGAGATGAATATAAATATATGCAGCAGCAGCTAATTGAAGAGACATTATTCGACACAGTGTAAATCGACACTGAAGTTTATTTCGATAATAAATAGAAAAATGGAAACGACATGTAACAAGGCTTTAATTTCTATTGTAACAGTAACAGTTCGTCAAATTGATACGCGTTGTATGTTCACCGTTTTGAAACGGTACCAATAACGCATAGCTTTGAAGTGTTGTACGCGGGTATACAGCCGTATCTAGCGTATAGCTTACAATTTGACAAATATAAATAGTAAAACTTTTAATTATATTTATGACGTCATTCGGTATCGGATATATTATTATTTTTCTATTATTTTTTTTTTTTTTTATGAAAAATTCAAATTTGTTTTCATTTAACAAGTTTTCATTAGAAAAGTCGGATCACGAAGACTATATGAATTCGTGGATGATAAATCATAGATCAGCAGAAGACAATAGGAGTAAATTATGTCAACCAGATGTAGATCCGAATAGTGAAAACAAAACAAGTCTTTGAAGAATACTGATGTAAAAAAAAAAAATAACCATGATCTATTTTTTTTTTTTTTTTTATTAAATTTTTTTGTCAATGCGACACTAATAAAAATGATATAAAATATAAGCGAAGCTTAAATTTTTTTTGTATGTTATGTTACAAATGTATACCATAAACACGTGCTTTCTAACTTTAAAAATAGATAGAGATATGAAGAGTGGTTAAATTAAAAATTAATAACCACTTAATAAAATAATTACTCCATTTGTTTAGCATGTAGTAATACTATAGAATAAATACAAAAGTATAATATTCTATCAGGTTTTAAGTGAATACAAGTAAAGTGAATAGTGTTCGAGCGAAGCGAGAAAAATTTTTTTTGGTTTCTACCATATGATAGTTACTAGGTAGGTACATGAAATAAGACGTATACCCATGATTTATTTTAGCAATACATCACTGCCTATAACTGTTGTATATTATACTTCACTATATTTATGTAGTAAATTTATTTAAGTAGTTTGGGTAGATATGTTGTATTCCTACTCAAATACTCAATTGACTCATTGTTAAATAAATATTATATTATTCTAAAACATTATAACAATCTTACCTAAATTTTAAAAAATTTTCTTTTTATTATTAAATAATTGTGTGTAAAGTGTAGTTTATTTCAGGCTAGGACTAGGGCCCCCCAAATTTATGTAAACCTTGGGGCCCGTTTGCGTGGTACACTCTGCACACATGTTATGTATCGATATTACAATAATATTTTGCATATTCGTAACTATTGGTGATTGAATCTGTTTGTCAATTGTTTATAGTCATAGAAGAATATCTATTTGATTTATATGAAGTGTTAAATCATTTTCTAAACCTCCACACTAATTGAGCATTCATATCAGATTCGACTGAAATAAATTACTACATTTATTCAGATTTTGATTAGTGTTCTCAGTTTTGTTTTGAAACAGAGAAGTCTTTGGTATTTTTTCAGGACTACAACTTGAGATCAGAATAATATTCTAAAGATGAACAGTGTACCAGTTGTGTCCAACCTTACTAGCACAGGAGTTGCAACGATACGATACAACGGCACCAGCTATGCCACTGTGTTTCCGGCATTACCGTCCTTAAAGACGTTGGACAACATAAGGACCAAACGTCAGAGTGCAGTGTCTGCAAAACAGATTAAAGTTAAAACTTCAACTGTAAATGAAGTAATTCATGAAGTCATTTTAATAATATTTAATTAGTATCAGAACGATAAACATGATTACATGTCTTTGGGATTGTAATGTGACCGATGCGTTATTACGATTATAACCATGTAGTCAGTTCAGGACAGTGGCATAACATACGGGGGGTTCCCGGGTTCAAACCCCCCTCAGGGCCGAAAAAAAAAGAAAATTGTTTTATTATTGATGACTTGTAATATATTCGTAGTTTCATTATTACGCTTTGACTTAAAATATACTACTATACAAATATTATGATGATTAAATAATTATATTGATAGGTGTTTGAAAAGTTTTGTTAACTATGCTGTTTTTATATTCCAATAGCTATTAATTTACTGTAATGTAAAAGTAAACTGTAAATTGGTAAAAAAGTTGTATAAAATAATATCTGTTTATAGCAGTTTTTCTTATTTATCTTCTTTATCTGTGCAACGAAAAAAAAAAGATAACGATTATTTTTATTAATATTTTAACAATATTTTCTTTCTGTATGAATAGTTAAGCTTTAAAAAGTTTTTGTGAATTTATATCTGGAGTAAAAATAAAATAAAAACATAGTTTTTATTCAGTACAATTTGTAGGTATTTACAATAACTGCCGAAAATTGTAATATTGGAGAGTGTAAACCATGCGCGGGAGAAAAATATAAAGATGTACTTAGAAAAATTGCTATACAAACTAATGTGGAAGTAGAGATTAGCACATCAAAAAATATGGAATCGACTTTTCTCGTCAGGGGAAAAAGAGTTAACGTTGATCAAGCGAAACTTAAGATCATCGCTTTTTTCCAAACCCAAGTAAATTATTTGTAATTAAGTATATTTTTGTGCGCAAATTATAAATGAATTATGAATTATATATATATTTTTTTTAATATTTTAATACTTAAATGTGTATAATAAAAAATTGACGAATCATTTGTTATTTTATAGTTTTTTGTACGCATAAATAATTATAATAATATTTTTTTCTTTAGAACATTACTCGTACTATTAATATTGCTAAGGAACATCATGGTAAATTAATGGGTAAAAAAGGAGCGTTCCGAAAAGATATCGAATTACGTACCGGAGCACGTATACATATACCTAGCATTAAAAATACGTCCGAGATTATTAATGTTACCGGAACAAGAAATAGTACGGCAAAAGCAATAAAAGTATGTAGCAAAAATATGTATCAACGAATCGAAATATAAATTTTTTTAATTATATCCCGTATGATTGTGGTAACCACTAAAACCATTCATTGAAATTTTAAAAACGTAGATATTATTTAAAACATTTGAGTTATTCTAAATCTAAATTCATGTATCACTCGGTTAGTGATTTGTGTACAGTCAAAACCATTATCACAATCAATTTGAAATTTTGGGCAAATATAAATTACTTGTTACTATTTATAAAAGTGGTAAGGAAAGATTGTTGCACAGTTTTGTGCATAGAACTAGTTATATAAATTTTTTCATTTTTCGATTATCTAAGGGGATATTTAGTCTTGTTTAATATGATAAATTTAATAAATAATGATCGAAATATTTGTAAACTAATATCGTAAGAATATCAATGTAAATAAAAATTGTAAGAATTTGATGGTTTTGCCCTTTCTTCGAACTAAAAGATATTTTTTGCATCAAAAACAAATTGATCAAACTTAATATAGTCAAATCTCTCGCGGGTATCGATATCCGATAAGAGGTTATCCTCAGTGATGAGATGGACCATTTAACTATGTTATATATATAAAATCATTGTATACTTAACTGTAATTTTTCTGGCTAATAAATATATATTATTACTATTAATTAAATTCTTAATAAATACTTGAAAATATCATGAACTGTATGTGGATAAAATTATTGAAATTCAACAAAAAATCTGAAAATGTACTACAACTTTCCATTATATATGTATCTTAATAGTTACTAAAAAATTAGCGTTATGTTAAAAAATAAATTTATAATCATTTGAAAATTGAATGTTAACAAAAATCGATTCATTAAAAATTAATTTTTAATACATTAGGTTTAATTTTTTACAGAATTTCTGTTGAGAATTTTTTTTTAAAAGAATTTATCTTGTCCCAAAAAAATGTACAAGTCTTATGTATTAACAAAATTGGGTATTTCAACAAATTTCCATCATGTAGTTTCATTCGTGGTTTTCTAACAATTTAAATTATTATTAGGAATTGGAGGAAATTATATTGAAGTTAAAAAATGTAAGTGAAAAAGAAATTTTAATTGATCAACGTCATCATGGAGCTATGATCGGAGTTAAGGGTAAAAACGTTATAAAACTTCAAGAAACCTTTAACGTTAAAATTACATTTCCTAGTCCAGGTAATTAATAATGTTGATATATTTGTTTTTTCGCATTTTGTTTATTAATAAATAATATTTGGTTCGATATTTTAGCCGCGACTAAAAACAATTTAGTCAAAATACGAGGTTTGAAAGACGATGTAAATAAAGCGTTTCAATCAATATCTGAATTGGCTAAGGCATTGGATGAGTCTTTAAAATTTCTCAAACCTGGTGCTGGAAATAAAGTTGTGATTAATGATAGCAAATCAAATTCCTGTTAAATGTTGATTATTATTATAAAAGATTGATGTATTCATGTTGACATATTGTTATGTAATATTTATTAAAATAATAATTATATAAAACATTATATTTTGTGCATTTTATATAAATATACCTATAATGGATTTCAAAATTATTATGGGACCTACTTTTTAGTGTTTACTTCCGGAATCAAAAGTCTGCGCACGTCTATGTTTCTTTCTACCATTAACCAATATGTAGTCGAAGCAGCCATTGTAAATCTAGAAGAGTTTTTTCACAATGCTCCAACGGCTGCGATCACTAATCCTTAAACATATACTGAACCCAAGGGTGCCCATATGGAGGGAGGGGGCTAGAGAGGGACATGTCACCCCACTGGAAAATGTCAAAAATCTTGGAAAATTGTTTACTATGATCAGAATATATTTAAATAGAATTTAAAAATTTAAATTTATATGAATATCTATAATTTTTTTATGAAAAATCTATTTATTGAGTTTGGAAAATCAGGTTATCGGCTATAAATAACAATATGCTTTTTCGTTTCTATTCTATGGATAATTATCAATTCTTAAAATATTGTGTATTTCCAGAAATACGGTATGTATATGTGTGTGTAAAAACCACCATAATATTTATATAATACAGGGTCCGGCAAAAAAACCTCCCGTATTTAGAGCTTACGCTGTGTGAGTTGTGGTGTTGGTACAACTATGAAGGGGTTATCGATCGATAGCGGTGTACGTGCCATTTTTAGTAGGCGCAATGGCCGTGGACTGGTTAACATCATGCTTTTGTTGTAGAGGAGTATATCCGTAATGGTGGTTCTGCGATTTCTACTCAGCGAGCATTTCGCATCCGGTTCAAACTTGGCCGACATGATTCTGTTCGGGATAGAAAAACAATGCTCGTTTGGGTGTCCAACTTTAAAGAAACGGGTTCTGCACTGAAGAAAAAACCACCTGGCCGACCTTTGACCATAACAACACCGGAAAATGTCGCACGTGTGAGGGCGTCCATTCATAAATCTCCAAGGCGTTCAGCAGTTAAACATACAGCTGCCCTGGGACTTTCTGATAGGAGTGTAAGAAGAATCTTGCACAGAGATCTTCATATGCACCCATACAAAATAATGATTACACAAGCACCAAGTGAGAGAGATTTTGAAACTCGTAAAGCGGTATGTGAAGACATTCTTCAGAACATTCCCGCTGGTAATGTTTTGATTTCGTCTGATGAGGCCCACTTCCACTTGTCTGGTATTGTTAATAAACAAAATTACCGCTACTGGGCAGTAGAAAATCCTCAGGAACTTCATCAACGGCCACTTCACAGCCCATATGTGACAGTTTGGTGTGCAGTATCTGATTTTGGTGTGTTGCCGGACCCTGTATTTGTAAGTTAATATTTTAATAAATATAACTAATGTTTTAAGTGTCCAATTTATATTATTAATTAAATAAAAATTTTAATAAATTATTTTTATGGTAAATTGGTTAAATAATTATTATTTTATAGTCTTCCAGTTTGATATATATATAATGTAATAGTATAATGTAAAATTGTAAACCCCTCCTATATCGTGAGTCATTCCTATTTATGAATAGATTGATAAATTAAAATGTTGTCCCCTCTTGAGAATTTTCCCATGGGCGCCCTTGGGTGTGCAGTAGTATAGACATAGATTAAATATACATAATAATATTAAATATATGTATTATATAAAATGTATAATCTATTGTATAGGTAGGAACGTAGACGAGGAGTGGTCTCTGACCTTAAGTGTCGACAGCCAGTTTTTGTGATCGTCAGGCTTTATTGTTTTACACGATTACATCATGCTAAGGGACGTTTGTTCCTTAAACTTATTATTTCTGTGCTCGTAAAAAAAACAAGATAAGTAACATGCGTGAAAAAATAATATAGCGTTCGCTATAAATACAAATAAGAAAATAACCCACCGTTCTTTAAAGGTGGTTGGTTGCCTGCGCTGACTTGCGTCTTGTGGAAACGGATAAAATAACGTAATTCAATAATTTATGTCCCGAGATATTCATAAAAACAAAAATCAATGAATAATATGGAAAACATAAAAGTACTGGATATCTTCATAAATTTGTCAAGGCTAATGATACAAATGACTAAAGATTCTTCTAATTAACTAAAGATTCTAGAGGCGTGATTTTTTACGCTTACTAATGGCTATAATAATAATCGTAATACATAACAAATAAATGCAACAATATCGTATTTTCGATTGTTACTTGCAGGGCACGGCGAAAACTCCTTTTCGTCGAATAATAATAATTAGTTTGCTGCTCTAGAAACTGCACAAACGCATGGGCGTCGTCAACGTCAGAGCGTGTTCTTACAAAATATGTGGCATTAATGCTCCTCGGTGATAATTGAATGCTATCCGATGGTTGGTAATCGTGCCACTAACCAACATTCTCATAATGACCGTAATGACAAGAGTTGATTTTCCCTGTACGTTTCTCTGATAGAAAATTCATATCTATTATTAAAGTGTCATCCAATGAAGATTACTTAAAATATGTTCTGGTCAAGATTATAATGGTCAGACCTTATAGGCATCAAAAGAACTACTATACAATATAATATATTGTCTGCTAGTGGTTCAAAAAATTACCATCGGGATTGCACGGTATACATTGTAGAGTACAAATAATAATATACCTAAATTTTTGTGTTTAATGGTTATTACGATGGTAATTTTTTGAACCACCAGCAGACACGAAAAGATGGGACACACACCAGTGAATAGGAATGTGGACACATGTGACCGACGCACTTCTGAACCCGAAAATAATGTCGGTGGTTCAACAACATAATATATGTTTCATATTCTTCATTCTGTGGTACAACCGTCTAGATAAGTAATCGCCTAACCCCGATAACGCGCCGATTAAAAGTTCGAGAATATTCTCGACCGTCAGTATTATCGGGTAGACCGGTTGGATCGGGTATGGCACGTGTGACGGCCCGTTTGTACACTCATATTTATATTTAATTTAATCAAAGTTTTAACAAAATTTAAAAGTATTTACATAATAAAGAAAGATTGTAGATAGGTACCTAAGGGCACAAGAACTTAAATATTACTTATAATAATAATTACTAATAGTATTAAAAATTATTTAAACTTATTAATACTGTAAATATAATAAATAAAATTATTTATACTGGATTACTATTAGCAAAAGTACCTACCTATATTTAATTGAAATTGGAAACTGCTATTGCAAAGCTTTAAGTAAAGTTTGAACAGCCACAAATTTTTTTTTATGAACATTTGCTATTTCAAAAAATTAATCCTGAATAAACCACCAAACCTGCTCAGCTTCTGGAGGATAGTTTAAATTTAATGCATGGAATGTATATAATGTAACTAATGATTTAAAACAAATATCTAACGCCTTAATTGGTGTTTCGAGTTAAATATATATATATATATAAATATATAAATATTGTCAATTACAGTATAGTAGTTCAATACACTACTAGCATCTTCAATATTCCCCACGATGGCAATATTTGGTTGAGCAGTTAAATTATTAATAAATGCTCTATTCACTTTTTGTTCGTGGGTTGTCTTGATGTCATTACTATTTTGTGAAATAAGCAATTTTAAATTAATACCGTATTTAGTACTTTAATAATATAGTTACACCATAAAGTGTTAATAAAATAGACCTAATATAATGATGGGAACATCAGAGAGATTTTTGACAAACGAAAGATTAAGAATATCAAGATGTTGTTACAATCGAGTGATTCACTCGAAAAATTACCTCTCCATCAATTTATTTCAATACCGAGATAATCACTCAATTGCTTTCAAAACAATCGAGATAATTGATTAAATCATACAATGGAGTATTTTGAATGTTCTCTCTTGATTATTTCCGTCACTAAACCGAATTAGATATTTGAATTTTAGAATTTATTAATGATAAGAAAGCACATCATAGATATCATTTAGATAAGGTATTTATTCTGTGGTATTGGTATCATTTAATAAAATGTTTATAACAGCTTGTGGCGACCCACAATCTCTTTGATAATAACCGCGGTAACGCACCAGCTGCGTGTTCCCCCTCCTTTCACTTTATATACGGTCGCACGCGCCGATCGCCGTCGGCCTCCATGAGCCTTACCACCGCTGTGCATTCGCTTGTACGTTTTTCGCCCGACACGCGTTTCATTTACGTTAACCTATAACTTATTATATTGCGTTTATATTTTTAGTAATTTTTTTTAATAAACGTTCATTTTAGCCTGACAGCACCTTAAATTTTAATTCTTTATTTTAACTGGTATCGATATACTCGAAACCAAAAGCTATTAGATAACAAACTACATAGGTATTAATTTAACAATGTAGGTAAATAGTCCAAGAAATGATGGCTTATACTAGTCTAGTTATAACTTGAGTGTATAGTGTAAGTGTATCTACTTTATTTATATTTTAGTGTTATTTTATGTTTTAAATGCTAAGCATTAGGTATTGGGATTTTATGTTTTCTGTTGTTTTATTAAAACTATAAATACTTGTGTACCTATTAGAAATATTTTAATTTTGAGACAAAATATTAGATAAATACAAAATAAAATACTTAAAACTTACTATGATATTGACTATCACAGCACTAGCTTGTTTTAATTTTGATGGTTTCCGCATACAATATTTAACTGTTTTTTGATTGTTCTCATTGGCAGTCTTCTTTGGAATTTTAATATTCACTGGATTGAATAGATAAGGAAGTATTTGTATAGTTGCTAAATCATCATCTCTTAAAACAAATTACAGATAAGTACCAACCTTTCTGTTTACCAACTCCAATTTTATTTTTATTAATAATGTTATGTTAACAGTTATGTAAACAACTTGCCTAATTTAGCAGGTGATATAATTTTTTTATTTATGTTTTGTTCAAACACATTTAAATTTAATTGTCTTAAAATATGTTTTCAACTTATTTTTGAATACATCAAATTTTTGTAGAAGATATTGGTCTTTTGATGGAAATAAGTAAGAAAAATCCATATCAATCTAAGAAAAATCATTGTGTATATTTCTAATTATTTATTTGAAAACAAAAATTTTATTTTATTACTAAGATTTAAAAAATATGTATTTGAAAGCAATAAATTTATTTATTTTTATTTTAATATTAATTAAATTTACTGCAATTCAGACATTTTTCAAATCTATTATGGCATAAGAACACCTTTTGTAGATTGTGTGACTAAACTTACAAGTATATGACCTGTTGCCTTTTTTAAAGCTGGATATTTATGAATAGCATTTTTGTTTATTTGCTTAGTATTTCTATAATGAGCAGTTTCAGCCCATAACTGGTGTAAAATGATTTCTGGTTCTATATTGTGCTTTAACCAATATATTGAATCTAAAATATCTATTTAATATAGTTATGCAATAAGTATTAATAAATAAGAATTACAAATAATATTATAATAAATATCTAATTCTAATGTCAATTTCACATTATAAGAATCATATTTTATAAAAAAATAATTAATACATACCTTCTTCGTTGATAAAAACTTCATTGTCTTTATTATGTTTTTTATTACTTTGAGAATTTATTTTCTTTATCTTTTTTTTTAAATTACAATATTTATCATACAATTTTCCTCGATTAGGACTCATGTTATTACCTTCTTTATAATAAGGGATGAAGTAGACATATTTGTTTACTGAAGGAAAGAATTCTTCTATACCTATGAATATGAAAACCCCTTTTTATTTATTATAGTTTTTAAGAAACCATATACTTAGTATAAAATATATATAATATTCAGGGACGGAGTGAGGGAGAGAGCAACAGGGGCAGTTGTCCAGGGCCTCGTGTCTTAAATTATAATTAAGGCCCCGTGGTTCTGATTTAACTGAACTTAAAATATTTTATTAATATAAATTATAAAACCCAACATTTATTTTGCCCAGGGCCTCGTAAACTATCACCGTCACTGATAATATTTACCTACTAGATTATTAAAAATAAGTTGAGTTATAGTTGTAGAGTTGAAAATAAAATAAATTAAAAAACATCTTAGATACAAAATAATTTTAAATGTTTTTACAGTGCCTAATATATTTTGTTTATAATGATTAATTTTTAATGAAATATATGTTATAACCCACATATCATTCTTTAAATGTCAGAATATCTATATGTAATGTTACGAATATCTACCATTTGCAATTTTCGAAAATTGTGACTTCTCAATTTTATTTGCACCTTTAGTTTTAAAAAGTTCATCTTTTATTAATATTCCACAAAGTCGTTTTCTCATTTTTGTATTTAATGACCCATATGACTTTAAGTGTTGCAGTATAAGGAGACAATCTTGGTATTGCTCCAATGTTTTTTTAATAAAATGATCTATAATTTAATTTATTTTCATTACCATATAGAATTTTTGAATATTTTGCAAATAACTTTTACTATTACTCGAATTCACATCGATGGTTGGTGGATTATCAATATTAGAAACTTCAGATTCCGCTTTAGTCATTGATAAATTTTCAAAAATGTCTGAAATAAATTTCTTAGGTTGCGGCTTATCTGTATATTATGATATAATTAATATACAATTATGTACGATTTTATTTCTATAAAACTAAGTGTTTATTAAATAATTGATTGTTAATAAATTATGTTATACCTGACTGATTAGTATTTTATTGAATAATATTTAAAGTATCAATTGCATTATTTTGAAATGGCTCTGTGGTTACACTGTAATATGATACATCTATATAATATAATTTGATTTTTTATTGTGTTATAATATACAAAATATATTTTAATTAGGTACCTACTATAATGTTATTGTCAGTCTGGCTTACCTGGCTATTATAACCAGAATTTTTTATAGGTACTAATTGTTTTGATAATTAAGGAGCCTAACACCAAATTTAAACATTGAAAATACCACAAAAAATTGGTCCTTTTCTTGACATAAATAAATATTAAATTGAAATGTTTCACCTACATACCAATATAATATATTTTTTATTGGTTATTTGCATTAAATTTATACTCTTTTTGTACTCAGTCAAATTTTAAAATTTAAAGTAATATTCAAAATCAAATAAAAAACTGACTGATTTGAACAAGTAATATACCTAAGTTTTGTTTAAATTAATAAATTTTCAAATTTTTACTGTAACTAGCAAAAGATGTAACCAAGTGTTTAAATTAAAAGATCACTAATAATGTATTAACTTATAAATTAATTAAGAAAATTGACTATTTTAATTAAATTGTTTCTTTAAGAATATAAACTATTTAATTAATTAATAACATTGGCAAATAATAATGTAGATAACACAAGCTGTAATTGCAATGATAAATTTCAGAAGTTTTTAAAATATTAATATTAGTTTTACTGAACATATTTTCAAGTAGGTGAAATTCATTTTAATATAATAATTTATTTTATTTTAATTAATTATGTTTGTTGGAGTTCTTTATTATAGTGTATTTAAATAGTGAGCTCAATCACAAGCCAAACCAACACTGACCTGAAAAAAATTGTTTTGAGTATTGCAAGTAAAAAAAAAAAAAAAAAACATTTAATAATTGAGATCAAATTGAATAAATATAATATACATTAAGGTTTACACTTACTGAACTTAATGGTTTATTTATCACCAAAAATAAATGTATGATAAATAAAATCGATTTTGAATAAATAAAAATAATAATGTAACAAATATTTATTTATTTAGTTAAAACTTGAATTTAAAAAATAGAAGATAACTAAATAAATAGAGATAAAATCTAAAAAAAAATGCTTTGGGTGATATACACGTAATATATACTATTTAAAGCGTATTAATCTAATGTTATCATAAGTTATATCTTCTAAGTTTATTTGAAAAAAATTACTAAAATGTTTTGTCATTGATGATGAAATTTAACTACCTTCGTTTAATAAATTTTAATAAAAATTTTTTTAATATTCAATTAATTTATATCAAAATTGATCTTGAGTTTTGAAAAATATTTGTTTGACAAAAATTGTCTTTAAAAAATCGATTCATCATAATTCCGCTTTTTAAATATTTTGGAAAAATAAAGTTTCATTAAAAAAAAAAAACGCACTTTGCCTACAAATTTCTAAGTTAAATATATCAAATTATAATATCATCAAAAGAGATTAAAACATTAGAAGGTCTGAATCAATCAAATAAATGGATATTTTTAATCTGTCTTCAGTCATTTTTTTTTTTTTTATTTTAATTTGCTTTTGTTCGCACATTATATCAGCATTCAGTTATAAAATGGCCTTATATTATATTAATTGCGAAGACAAATTACTGAGTATAATGGTTTTATATTTATATATATTTTTTAAACTGTTCTTTTCTTATTATATTTTTACTTTACCTTCAAATTTATTCATTAAATGTTGAAATTCAATATCATTTTACCAGTTTTTGGTAAATTCGTCCATATTTAAGTAGGTATCTAATATAACAATTATTCAATAAATTATATTAAATCAATTTATTTTTGTAGGTAGTAACTTATAATTTATAAATAATATCTATATATAGTGTGTCTCAGAAGACCCGTGCTACCCTTATAATATCTGAGCGGTATATCAATATTTTTATATGTAGTTTTTTAGAGATAAATTATTACACAAATAACAATTTAATGCAATTAATAAAAAAAAAAAAAAATTTTTTGTTCAATCATTTTTATATTCTACTATTATCCGAGACCAAAGAAATTTATTTTTTGATGAGAAATAAGTGTTAGAGAAAATTTAAAATATTCAAAATTTTCTTTCACAAAAATATTTTTTATATTATTATCAATCTATATTTAAATTAACATAAAGTTTGGATAAAAAAAAAAGTTTTATAGGGCTTTTTAGGAAAATTTTGGAAAAATTATTGAGAATTTTGAAAATTACCTTCAAAAAGTACCATATAGGGGCAAAATCTGATTCAAAAAGTTGCTTATGTAAACTTTCGGGCAAGCATTTCTATACGAAAAAGTGTTAACAAAAAATATTAATAATAATACCTAAATAAATAAACATCATTTATAGCAAAACTATTTTTATATTTCGCTCCACTCAGAACCTTAAAGTAATATTTTTTCATGTATAATTTCAACGATAAACATGAAATAAATTGTATACTTTACATCTACTTAGTATAAACATTTAAAAATTTGAATTTAACTGCTTTTAAAAAATTGTTTCCCTATTTAAGTAGGTAGGTATCTAAGATATAGACCTATACAATTCGGTAATTAATTTATATTTAATAAACTATGTAACTATAAGTCGATATTTATTTAAATAATTTGAACAAAACTCGAAAATAACTGTATACATTAATAATATACTATATATTCAGTATATAGTGTAAAAGACTTACCTTTTTGACTTGAATCCATTGAAACTTAGAGAGCCGTAGAGCGTCGAACTTTCTTGTAGAAGTGTCGCAAAGTATGATAAATACATGATTGACATAAGGGTAATGGTGACCACCATCCATTAGCTGATAATATGTTTTGCAAGAGACAAAATTCTTAAGAATTTTTATTTCATGCCGCGCGTGTTGCCTTGTGCCTAATTTTACCTTTGTGTTTGCGACTCGCGCGTGTTTAGTTTTCGCCGAATTATATTTCGACAGTTCGACTTATAATAATTTATAGCAATTTAATCTATTGCTATAGTATTCAATTATTTGGGCTATAAAATATAGTAATATTCACTATTGAAACCAACTATTTTTATATAGTCTTAATAACTATACTGTTTTAGTTATTCCACCTATAAAATATTGATTCTTACTACATTTTCCGTGACTATAAAATTTTAGTAATTTTTTATTTTCCTTGCAGCCACTACCAACACTAGATCATACATTGGAAAAATCTCCGAAAACATTAAGGTGCAAATCATGTTACAGCTTGCTGGTGACAAAAGAAGGTAAACTAATATTTACTTAAATTAAACAATTTGAGATTAATTTTTACAGATACTATATATATAAAATTATTTTTTGTACATGTTTCAGTTTAACAGTATAAATTCTCGGAATAAGAATTTGCGCGCATACGTATAACGTTTTATACTTTTTTTATACGTTTGAATTTAATATCGTGTACCCGACAGACATTATGCCCAATTGCGATTGGGGCCGTCCATGTTGTTGTAGCGACTGTACCTCGATAACATACATTAAAAAATGTTCACATTGCGATATTGAGACTACTGATTTGATCGGGGTTTCGAATTACACAGTTGATCATAAAGGTATGTCTGGTTATGATAAAAAAGCTTTGTGCAAAACCTGTCATGAAAAATGGTCAGAAAAACAAAAATCTATGGAATTAAAAAAACAACAACGACGAAAAATCGAGGATGAAAAAAGACGTGATTTTATGAATCATTTGGAGCGATCGCAACAAACAAACGATGGTCAAATGGTTCCGATCAAACAATTGTACCGAAAACTGGGTGTAGAATCGTCAGGACGTTTCAACGACAGCTTTGTGAGCAGATTACCGATAAAATTTAAAAAAATAAAAAATAGATACTATTGTTATAAAACTGTCGTGGATAATTTTAATATTGAATTATATAATAAATATAAATCTGCATAAACTCTAAATATAAATGCGTGCATGTAACTTATATCAAATAAACATAAATATACCTATATAAGCGAATGTGTTTTTTGATTATAAACGTAGTGTTTAATTTTTTTTCTATAATGCCACCGATACGTGTGAACGCGCAAAACCGAAAATTTGACATGCAAACGAATCTCCGATGACGATTCGAAAACACGGGAACGTCAAAAATGTATTGACACTCGAAAAAGTATTAAATCGATACCACCGGTTGTGAAAGATTATAAAACGGATATTGATATATATAAACAAATGCTTGTACTGTACATTAAAAAATTAAAATTAGATTTTGTTAATATTTACAGTAATAGGTTCAACACGTTTATGGCTATTAACTACGGTTAACTATGCGTTAACTACGATTTAAAGCATTTGGATGAACGGGAAGCATATTAGCATTCTGGGGTCGGTCTCGGCACCGGTTATCATTTTAGCTTTCTGATTGGTCGTTTGGTCTTGCCGCGCTTTTTACAAACTGTTACTTATAACCTTGTTATCTAGTATTATGTGTTATTTAATATTATCGAATTGCAATGCCTATTTATTATTTATGATACTATTATGAAGTATAAGTATAAATAATCTTTAAAAGAGTTTTTACTTTTGAATTTTTGTAGGTAGCTTTTTAAGTAAAATATTATTAGTCAAAAAGTATCTTAAAATGATTTTTTGACTTTTTGTTGAATATAATATAATATAATATTACAATAATTTTTCTAGTCTGCTAATTTGTTAGAGAATTTGTCTATAATAATAAATAATAATAATAATAACAATTTAGGAACTAGGAATTAATATAGGAAGATAAATATTAGGAATGCGGACGTTACGCCCATGCTATTTCGACCCCGTCAAAAAAACGAGTCCACGGACGTTTCGTCTCTGTCCATAAAAATTTACCTATAAAACAATATTTCAACACACTTATATACAATATTATATTTTCATGTAATACAGTTTAAACAATCAACAACGCGTTTTATATTGGTTAAAATAAATGTAGTATATTTACAATATTATTAATGTTTAACAAATTTAAAGCAATCGATCATACGATATTAAATTAGTTCGATCTTTTACACAGTAAAGGAAATATTTAATTATTATGTAATAATGTTAATAAGAAAAATGCCGAGTTACGATTTATTTAAGTGAGATAATCAAGTGATCTACTTTTACTACTATGAAAATAGTATTCATTCAAAATAAACAATAGAATAAACCTTGTTTATATTGTTTGTAATTTAATATAATATTATGATTCTCGATGAGTTACGAAATTAAATTACTGAGCACATCTATTACCGTATACCGTGTATTATACGATATTCATTATCCGTTATTAAGTTGTTTATTAAAATCAGTGACGACTAGTGATGTGTAGTGTGTAATTATTTGTATATAGAAAAGCTATTCTTCAATTCCATCTTTATTCGCATTAAACATCACGTGTTTCCATTGATTTTAATTAACGACTTAATGATGGATAAAGAATATCGAATAGTACATTAGTAGATATGCTCAGTAACTTAATTTCGTACACTATCAAGAACCATAATATTATATTAGGTTACAAACAAAGTTATAAGGTTTATTTCATCGTAAAAGTTGAATGAATACTATTTCCATAAAAAATATAAAAATAAATTCATAAATTAATACAGGGATTGGAAATGAATTTTCTTGTTCAATATGTTTGAAATGCCAATTGACCACTCGAAATATGCGTGAATGTAGTCAAGATGTAAGATTAAGCCTTTACGTGCGGTAACTTTGAATAATTTGCTATTTCAAGATATTATTTAAGTAAAGGCTTCATCCTACATCTTGACTAAATTCACACATATTTCGAGTGGTCAATTGGCATTTCAAAGGTATTAGACTAGAAAATTAATTTCCTATCCCTGTATTGAGTCTATACCATTCCAAACATCACGAGTTGCTTTTACGTTAGATTCTATTTCGAAACTTTGTTGTTGTCTTATGTTGATCGTTTGATATCACATTATTTTCACTCGGGAATCGAGGTTTCTGATTAATTATTTTATACCTGGACTGAATATGATCGTATTTCGTTGTCTTTTTTGCAAGAGGCTTTTCCGTTACTATCGGACGTACGGTTCTTTGTTGGTTCACTTTAGTCTTTGACTTCAAACTGTTCTTCTTTTTCTCATTATTTCGTGCTGTTTGCGATTTCAAATATTCGTTTTTTTCTTTTGTCCATGTTTGTTGGTATTCCATCGATATTAAAGACAACATGTTCGGCTTTTCACTTTTTGCCTGATATGATGGTATAAATTTTGGAACATTGGTGTAATTGGATGCTACCAAATTGTCACGTCGTTTCAAGGAGACGGATGGAACAAATGTTGTCTTTTTGATATGTGCCATTTTATTTTTGAAAATATTATTTAAATGGAGACGGACCAAAAAATGATCGAGAATCACTAACAAGGTTAAAATTAAGAACTTATGATTACAAATAAATGAATATTCGTGAAAATTATTGACATTTAACTAAATACTGTTATTTGTTATCACTTTAGCAACGCTAATCGCGAAACAAACTCATGTAATGAAGTGTATAATAATTGTTTTGCCCAGTAAATTAAAAAGTCCGGATGACGTGAAAATTTAATTGAACATATATGTACACGGAAATAGTTCGTACAAATGTTAAAAAAAAAAATTATGGAAGTCAACGAAACGCAGTGCTCCAAGCGGCTAAGGTACGTGTTCCAAGGCGGGACAGTATCTGTTTATATGAAAAATATGTACTAACTGTTTTTCGGGACGCGACCAGTCGTGGACTGATGACATTGGTAGAGTACCGCGGGAGGTGTCGTGACGAACACAATCAGTACTCATAATTAACCTTTGCCTAAAGCATCTCTAGCTACTTCTAATGCAACTAAACGCTTTTGAATAGTTCCATTATAAGTTACAAATCTAACAACAAATGCCAATTTCTCTAGCCTAGACAAACTAACTACAACCGTGGCACTATATAGTTATAGTACTCTATAGCTAGCCACCACTACGGTTCGCAGAGAGTAAGGACCTAAATAAAGGTACAATTTCAAAGAGCCCAGGGGTACCCACCCACCCTCCCAGAAAATGTCTAGGTCTAAACAACTGCATTAGGTAAACGTCGTTCACCACGCCACTGAACATATGGTAATACTTTTACGGATATTGAGTGTACATGTTATTGGTGAATGAGGTGTTATTACATTATGAGAATATCTAACGGTTTATGAAAGTGTTGTTAAAAGAAAGGTTGTTTTTTTAATATGTTATTGTGCAAATAAGTGTCCATGCCGCAATTCGGCATGCCTGAGCGGTTTGATAAATTAAAATATTGGTACATTGTGCCCATTATTACAAGTTGTAGTATGATCGATACAAACATAAGGAGCGTGCCTCGTATACATTTACGTTTGTTATGTTGCCTAAGTCTAGGTTTCCTTTTTTCAATGCAGTTAAACACAAAATATTTTGTTACAAAATGTTAATGATGCGTTTAAACATGATAGATAATTTTATACATTCACGAATTTAATATATAGAGTTTTCCCTACTAGTATGTGTTTTCATCCGATATTTATTGATACCACCTGTATTATCAATAATTTTTTTCTTCTTTACTTATAATCAGGGCTCGGAAGTTGTAGCACTAAAAATGTTACTTTTTAGCTCTTAAATATGCACTTAAAAACTTTAAAATATGCGCTATAAATAGCACAAAAATCAAATAATGTAATTTTTTAACTGAAAAAAATGTAATTTTACAAATTGTTAGGCTCATTTGATACAGTCTGTACTAATTGAATTATAAAATGTTAACAAAAATGTTAAATTACTTAAATATATTTGTAAAAATGTACTTATTATTAAATTATTTTATATATTTACCTTGGAAATTATCCTAGATTATTAAAATGTTTGATAATCTAATGCAATGAAATAATAAGGGAATAACAATGACGTTACTAACTATTAATACATCAAATTGTCAATGAAAACATAAAATAATATTTGATGAAATCTATTTATTTCCAATAATTAAAATATTTTTAAAAACATGACGAAGTAAATACAATTATTATCAACAAAATTTGATTAATACCTACATTATGTGAAATATACCAGAAAATAGCACTATAAACCCTAAATTAGCAAAATAGCAATAAAACCCGTAAATATGTAAAAAATAGCAAAATTAAATTTTGTATATGATACCCGAGTAGTGAAAAATATATTTGTACCTTACTTTAAATGTTCTAGGATGAACTAAGAAAAATATGCATTTGCTAGAATTTCCGAGCCCTGCTTATAATTTAGAACCGATGGAAAACGAAGTATATTACAAAGTATTCTTTGAACGTTGTAAATACTTATTCATATTGCGTTTTTGAAAACATTTTTGTCGTACAATTAATGTTTTTATTATTTTAATACTTTTTTTTTTTTTTTAACTGTAGTTAGAAACAATTTAGCTCGGCAATTACAGTAATTAAATTAATGATAAACAAATAACGATTAAATTTAGTGAAAATGATAGGTACAGCAATAGATACAGATAATAGTAGTGTAGATAGTACATAAAATAATCAAATAAATATTAGAATCATAATAATGCAGAAAGTTAATATTAACATGTTAGACAACAATGCGGTATTCATAATAATTATTTAATAAAAGGTATTGATAGGAGGTATAGATAAGATTGTAATTATTGATTCAACGAGGACGTATTTCAGGAAGTATTGTTTCTTAGAAAGTAATGTGTTTAGGAGAGTGGATAAAAGCGAAATTAAAGGGGTGATAACATTCGCCTTTCTACCGTCGTCAGTGTCAGTCGTCATTAACGTTATCTCGATTTGTATATAACTTCGTCTGGTTTATTCTCGCGTGCAGTTATTTTCCCGTAACATATAGTTCAATTTCCAATGTCTACTGCTTCCGGTGGCAAAGGCCCCGGCAAGACCCCTAAATCGAAAATTAAGGGTTCTTCATATGTGTATGTGT